GTCCTGTGCATTTTGGAGGTTATAAATCTCATGGAGAAAGACTGGCTATCTTTCCCCTGAGATGCCACTGGTGGTCTGCATATTTAGGGAGGTACCATCTTTGAACTAGCAGCGGAAATCTCCATGGATGGTGTTCTATAGTTTAAATATTGCTAAAGGACAAAAGATACTCAATAAGATACAAGTGGTTTAAAAAAAGGTACATCATTAAAACAGTGTTTTAAAATTTTCTTTATCAACTAATATTATTTAGATCATTCTGCTTAAAATAAAATATTAGTTACTTACCCCTCTATTGTTACAATGTTGACTACCTCTGCATTGTTCATAATCAATAAAGAAACGAACTTCTTTACAAGCAAATGAGACACAAAACTTAAAAAAAAATGAAAATAAAGTCAGTCAAACAACCAAATTGTTTGCATGGATAATACGCTGTAAATATTCAAGAAAATCACAAAGGTCTTATTATTCAGAAATGGCAATTACAAGAATAATGTGATCGAATGAAATAAAGGTGAAATAAGTTATTATCTTAGGCTTTGTTTTCTAAATGAGTAAAATCAACAATGCTAAACCTGTATGTATATATGTATGTGTGTATGTATTTGTGGTGATGATGGAAGTTGGTATTTCAAATATGAGCAGGGTTACCATAGTGAAAAAGTTTCAGCAGAGCTTCCAGACTAAGACAGACTTAGAAACAGAATTTGCCATTAATTTCTGAAATAACATGCTATAACAAAGGAACGTTGTTATAGTAACAGAAGTAGAGCCCTTCAGCTTTGTAGGCATTAAAAAAAAGGAGAGAAATCCCCACTAATAACTAGAATATAAGATATATGAAACTAAAGAGCAATGCATAGAAAGTGAGCAGAGCAGTAGGAATTTGAGTGAGAACTATTAAAATAATTAGTTTGGGTCAAATGGTATTTCTATTTGAAACTTTTTGAGAAAGTGCCATACAGCCTTCCATAGTGGTTGCACCATTTAACACTCCCACCAACACTGAATAACGGTCTCAGTTTCTCTGCAACCTCGCCAGCATTTGTTGTTTGCTGCTCTGTTAAATTTTGCTATTCGTACTGGAGTGAGATGATGTCTCATAGCTGTTTTTATTTGCATGTCTCTAAGAGCTAGGGATTTTGAGCATTTCTTCATGTATTTTTTGGCCATCTGAATACCCTAACGAAACCATAACTGCCACCGAGGCAGATATATGTACACCCATGTTTACTGAGGCTTTGTTCACAATAACAAAGAGTTGGAAACAACGTAAGTGCCCATCAACAAATGAATGGACAGAGAAGCTCTGGTATATTCACACAATGGAATACTATGCTGCATTGAAAAACAAGGAACTTATGCAATATTATTCAAAACGGGTGACCCTGGAGGACATTATGCAGAAGAAAGATCTCAGTCACAAAAGGACAAATACTGCATAGTGCCACTGTTGTAGAACACGACTGATATCAGGGTTGGGGAGAGACTGAGAAAAATTGGATAAATTATGTATACTGCATTGAAACAGATAAGGGAGAGAACAGTTTAAAAATTATATATGATTGTGTATTATAGTTATGACAAGAGTCCAGAATTCATAGTGGAGTATACCCAGTGGGGTGGGGAGGGGGAGATTGTATACTTGTATACCAATAAAGGAATTTTTCTTTTACTTTTCAAGGAAAGGAGCAAACTGGGAGGCAGGGGGTGGGGAAAGGTGGGCAGGGAGAAAAGTGTAACAATGAATGAATGGAAATCCAATATCTCTGTAAATGTTCATTAAAATAAAAATATATAAATAAATAAATTTTAAAAAGACCATTTTAAAAAAGACAAAAAAAAATAATTAGTTTGGGAGCCACAGGAGCAGTGAGCTATGGACCCCGATGGGAGCCACGAGCTGAGCAATGGCAGAAGCTGTTTTTCAGGCATGGCAGGCACCACCAGCCAAGCCTCCCTGGGAACCACCTGCCAGGAGCAAGCAGGACAGTGGGGATTTGACTATGTTTACTCAAGCCCCACTGGACCCAGAGCCCAACGAGACCCAGAGTCTCGCCATGCCTGTTCTGGCCCACACGTGTGCCCCCCAATCCAGTCAACTAACTTGATTTTAATTAAGAGTATTTCATCTGATTTAGCTGCAATAAGAGGTTGTTCTCACAGGTCCTGAACTGAACCTTCCCTTGGGTTAGAAGTTTGAACAAAAACCCAGGTAGGGTAGCTGCCCCATGCTCTTCTAGAACAGTGACTTCATATAAGACGCTATCATTACCTCAGGCTTGAAAAACTCTACCATAGCAATGCCACAGAAGAAGCAGGCTACTATACAACCTACACAGATGCAAAGCACACTGTCACCCCCAAAAGGTGACACAGTACCTATGGATTTCCTGAAGCCAGAAAGTCTGATAGTACTTTGTGACACAGAATTTAAAAGAATAATGATTTAATATTTTCAATGGGTGAAAAAATAAACTCGATAGAATTATAGGACATCACAAGCAAAAACCAGGAGGAGCTCAAAAAATAATGCAAAACACTTCAGATAAAACAAACGAGGCATTAGCAGCCCTGGAAAAAACAAGAAACTGCTATCCAAATATGAAGTCCAATGTTTCGGATACTGTCAACATGATGGAGGGACACAAGAGCTGAAAAGAGTTGAAGAGATGCAACATAGAACCAGTGAATTACAAGACAGAATTGTCACCACTGATTTACTAGAGCAAAAAGCAGAATTAAAAAGGAAGGAAAAAGAAGAAAACCTAATGTAAGATGGATCTTGGCAGAAAGGAGAGAATACCAGAAAAATGTCTATCTGTGCTTCATTGACTATGCAAAGGCTTTTTACTGTGTGGATCACAACAAGCTATGGCTGATTCTGAGAAGAATGGGAATCCCAGAACATTTGATTGTGCTAATGCGAAACCTATACTTGGACCAAGAGGCAGTCGTCAGAACAGAGCAAGGAGACACTGGATGGTTCGAAATCAAGAAAGGGGTCCATCAGGGATGTGTTTTGTCTCCATGCCTTTTCAATCTTTATGCAGAACAGATCATTCGAGATGCTGAGCTGTAAAGGAGGAATGTGGCAGAATCATCAACAACCAGCATTATGCAGATGACACAACCCTGCTTGCTGAAATTGAGGAGGACTTGAAGTGCTTGCTGCAGAAGGTCAGGGACTACAGCCTTCAATATGGATTGAAGCTCAGTATCAAGAAAACAAAGATTCTCACCCCTGGGCCAATTGGCAGCATCAGTATGGATGGTGAAGAGATTGAGATAGTTAACAGTTTTAGTTTGCTTGGCTCCACAGTCAACACTCTTGGTAACAGCAGCCAGGATATCAGGAGACGAATTGAATTGGGAAAGTCAGCTGTGAGGGACCTCTCAAGAGTACTGAAGTGCAACGACGTCAGGCTGGAGACTAAGGTGTGCCTGATCCAGGCTATAGTCTTTGCAATTACATGCTATGCATTGGAGAGTTGGAGAGTGAATAGGGATGATAGAAAGATAATTGATGCCTTTGAGCTGTGCTGCCGGAGAAAAGTGTTGAACATACCACGGACTGCTAGGAGAACAAACAGGTTTGTCCTGGAGAAGGTGAAGCCAGAATGTTCCCTGGAGTCAAGGATTCTGAAGCTTCATCTGACATACTTTGGGCATGTTGCAAAGAGGGACTGGTCCTTGGAGAGGGACATCATGTTTGGTAGAGTGGAGGGACAGCGCAGGAGAGGAAGACCCTCGATGAGATGGATCGATTCTGTGAGTGGAGTGCTGGGAATGAACATGTTTGAGACAGTGAGGTTGCGTTTAGGGCTCTTGTACATAGGGTCTCTATGGGTCACAAACGACTCAATGGCACATAACAACAATAATAACAATTGGTTGTGCTCGATTCAAAGGCAGTCATCAAGTCACCAGAGCTCCACTGCAGCAATAGCAAACTTTAAAGGGAAAGGCATGATAAATGGTGGCAAGGATGTTGAGAGAATGGAACTCATGTACTGCTGGTGCATGGATTGTAAAATGGTACAACCACTATGGAAAACAGTTTGTAATTTCCTCAAAAAGTATAATACAGAAATCCCATATAGCCCAGCTATTCTACTACTAAATATATTCCCTAAAAAAAATCAGGATCGAGACATAAACAGAGATAGGCACTATCTGATATATTCACCACAGCATTTATCACAACAGCAAGAAAAAGAAAATGGCCCAAATGTCCATCACAAGTTGATGTACAGAGAAATGGTAGTACATTCACACAATAGAGTACTATGCACCACTCAAGAACAATGAAGAATTTATAAAATACTATGCAACATGGGGTGAGCCTAGAAGACATCATCCTTTGTGGTCACAAAAAGACAAATACTGTATCAAGAGAGCAAATGGGGGAGTGGTGGGGTTTGGGCATGGGAAGAGCAGTAATGAAATGCACAAAAAATCTAAAGAATCAAAAGAAGGGAGGACCAACCAAGAATTAATGAGAGGACAATATGGCTATAAGAATTAGCAAGTTAGAACAGGATACTATTTAAAAGAGGAGGGAGGGAGAGGAGGAAGTTTGGAGCAAGGTAAGGAAGAACAAAACCACTAGGGCAGCAGACATTAGTGAACAGATGGTGGAAGGGTGAAGAAGGAGGCAAGATGTAATAGGAATTTGATGAGATGGGTGATAAAAGGCATTGGTAAATAGTAATCCATTAGGTAAAACACAATGTTTATTAATGGTTTTATAAAATACAATGACACAACGTACAAGAGTGAAACAGTGCATATAGTGACAGTATGAAAATAAAAATATTTTAAGAAGGGGGCATCTTGGAGTGATAGAAATGTTCTAAGTCTGGTAATAGTTGTATAACTCTACTATAACAAAAATAAACAAATTGTGGACTTCATAGCAAACACCCTCACAATGTTATTTTAAAACACATAAGTTGATATAGTGTTAAAATTTAAGTATCACTATAAAAGTAATTTTAAACACTTGAATTTTTGTAGGTTCTAATTACCATATCAGGACCACACGGTGTGCCATCTTCTACAAATGTCTCATCTCTGTCGCTTGGTTCAAGGTACGTTGTTATTGAACGAGGTCTTTCATTGATATTATGTGCAGATACACAAATTGCATCTCGTATATGTGAATAAATCACAGATAAATTTTCACGTCTTATTAAATCTTTGTGTGGCCATGCACAAACTAATTTTCCACATAAAACATTGCTAAATGCATAAGACAGAGAAAACAAATTTCTTTCTTTAGTGATTGAAATACATAAATTGTTGGAATAGTTAATTGAGACAAAAAAAGTGTTAAAAATTTAGCTCAAATCTAACAATATTCTTTATTCAGGGTCCCATGCACAAAGAGAGACAACTTTCTTTGTGCATGGGACTTAGGATTTGGCATGTTTTGTTTGTTAGGCAACATGACAAGTGAGAATTTAATGACATATGCATAATGACAACCTTATATTCCTTCATAGATCTATCCTATGCTATTTTTTTTAAAAAGTGAGCAAAAGAGGAAAGTTACCTCTGTGACCTTTAATTTTTTCATCAGTTAAATGTCATAAATTATTACATGTTTTCTGCATATGATATATAAATTGTTTAGCACAAGGAAGTAGCTAAGAGAATATGCCATCCCCTTTTCCTTATGAATCAGGGTGAAGTCTCTCTCAGGGAGGAGTGATAGGGAATGGCAAAGGACATACTGACATAGGAGATTAGTCAGAACTGGCTTCGACAAGCACTGTGGCAATTGGACAATTAAAACAAACATTCGGGGGTGGGGAAGAAGAATGAACTGGGGAGGAGGGTAGAGAAAACAGTGCAACAATGAATGAATGAAAACCCAAAATCTCTGTAAATTTTGACTAAAACTAATAAAACTTAATAATAATTAAAAAAAATAAATTGTTTAGCACAGTTTCTAGCTCATCACAGCAATAAAGGGAGTTCAACTTTGATGAATGGTTGTTGAAATCTCAACACTAAGCACTGAGCAAATGCTATTTATTATTTACATGATGTAAACATAAAAAGGCTGATATAAAATTTCACTTTACTGTGTATATAACATATGCTAGGGTCTCAGCAATAAATAACGTACATTTAAAACAAAATTAGTTTTCTAAATACATACGGAAAGACACAAAATTCCTTGCCACAATTTCCATATCGATCCCTTCTGCCATTAATTTCCTCGAAACAATAAAAAGGAGCACCTAAAGAATCTTAAATAGGAAAAACCCCAAAATAAGTAAATGCTAATATAAGATTATTTATATTAAACTATTATACTTACATAAAGTTCATCTAGAAATTTTTATATTATTAGTATAGTAATTAATATATTAAATTATATTATCCATGTTATTGTGGTTAGATGCCGTCAAGTTGAGTATGACTCATAGCAACCCGATGAACAAAAGATGTGAACTCTCTCCTATCCTGTGCCATCCTCACACTTCCTGACACATAAAAGCCATCGCAGCAGTTGCTGTGTCAGTCTACCTGGTTGAGAGTCTTCCTCTACTTACTGACCCTCTACCCTTCCCAGCATCATTCTTCTCCAGGGAATAACCTTCCTAGCAACATGCCCAAAGTATGTGAAGCAAAACCTCATAATTCTTACCTCCAAAGAGCACTCAGGTTGCACCCTCTACAAGAGATATCTGTTTGTTTTCTTGGCCATTCATGGGATATTCAGTGCTCTTCTCCAACACCACAGCTCAAAGGCCTCAATCCTTTCTTTGCCATTCATATTCATTGTCCAGCTCCCACATGCATAGCAAGTAATTAGAAAGACTAGTTCTCAAACTGGTATCATTATTCCTCAATAATTTGGAGATGTCCCTATTGGCAGATTTTCCCAGTGTAATGTGTCTCCTTATTTCCTGATTGTTGGTACCAAGGACCTATGACTCAATGACACTCAGCAACAACATAGAGAGAGCTCACTTGGCCTGGTGGACAGAAAGTGATGCTACAAAGCCAAAGGTGGGTGATTTTAATCTGCGCCCCTCAAGTATAGTTTTAATTGGTTTTGGTCAAACATTCTTTTAAATAGTGTAGAACTGGTCTGTTCATTTGCTGCATAGAGGTAACTCGTGGTTGCTGTGATACTGAACACTGTGACACTGATATGTCAAATGTGATAATGGTTATCCATGGTGGATAGTGTTTGGTTGAGCTCCCTTGTTAGAACAAGCTTGGAAGTAAGAGTGGCATCCATTTCCAAAATTGCTTGCCTCCGGAAACTCAGTGAACATGGAAAAATGATGAAAGTTATACAAGTGTCCAGGTCTTTTGTTCTTTGAGTTGTTGTGAGTTGTCTATGACTCAATGACACTTAACAACAACAACAAGAAGGAAGCAGAATGGGCCATCTATTTCTTAAATAACAGGACTTTGAAAACCTTATGAACTCTAAAGGAATGAACATAGTTATAGTAGAGTAGAGTTAGAGTCTAGATGGGAAGTAAGTTGAAATGAGAAAAAACAATAACAAACATAGTTTAATCCTTGGAACATGGAATGTACATAGCTTGAACGTTGGAAAATAGGAAATTGTTAAACATTAAATGGAATGCAAGACCATCAGCATATTAGGCATTAGTGAGATGAGCTTTGGCTACTCTGAATTAGATAATCAGGTGGTAATAGTATACAGAGAATGGAAAAACAGAAGAAGAACAGTGTTGCATTCATAGTAAAAAAATCAATTTCAGGTTCTACCTTGAAACACAGTGTTGTCAGATAGGATAGTATCCATATGTATATAATGAAAATTTATTAATAAGACTGTTTTTCAAATAGACACATATCTGGAGCCAAAGAGAAAGAAACTGAAAATTTTTACCAAATCTTGCAGTCTGAAATGGACTGAACATGAAATCAAGATGTGTCTATGATAATTGGTGACTGGAATGCAGAAGTGGGAAAAAGTGAAGAAGGACTGTGGTTGCTGTTGTTGTTAGGTGCCGTCAAGTATGACTCAGTGACCCCATTAACAAAAGATCTGAGCCATCCTCACACTTCTTATGCAAGAACCCATTGCAGAACTCATCGTGCCAATCCACTCTTCCCAACATCATGTCCCTCTCCAAGGAATAACACCTCCTAGCAACATGCACAAAGTGTGTGAAGCAAAGCATCAGAATTCTTGCTTCCAAAGAGCACTCAAGCGGCACCCTCTCCAAGAGATATCTGTTTGTTTTCTTGGCCATTCAGTGCTCTTGTCTAAAACCTCAGCTCAAAGACCTCATGTCTTTTTCTGTCATCCTTACTCACTGTCCAGCTTTTGGATGCACAACAAGTGACTGAAAATATTATAGTCTGTATCAGACACACTTTTGTCCTCAAACTGACATCGTTATGCCTCAATAACTTGAAGAGGTCCCTAACTGCAGATATTTCCCAGGGCAAGACATCTCCTTATTTCCGGTGCGCTAGTACTAAGGGTGTTAATTGTGGAGCCAAGCAAGATGAAGCTGTTAAGAGGTTCAATAGCCTCTCCAACCATCCTGACACTGTCTATTGATCCAGTGGTAAGAATCTTTGTTTACTTGACATTGAGATACAATACGTACTGAAGACTGTATTCCTTGATCTTCTACAAGTGCTTCAAATCCTCCTAAGGTTGTCTCATTTGAATAATGCATGTTTTTGATGAGTCTCCTTCCAAACCTGATGTCACTTTCCTCTTTACAGAGTCCAGCTTCTCAGATAATTTGCTCAGCATACAAATTGAATAGCTATGGAGAGAGAATATAACCCTGATCCAGGACTCCCTTCTCAACTTTAGAATATCTAGTGTTCCCCTGCCCTATTCACACAACAGGAAAATAGGGGCTTGATGATAGAAATTAAGCTGGAAATAAAAAGATTGAATTTTGTGTTTGTAATGATGTATTCATTGCAAAATACCTTTTGTAAAAGACACAGAATGACAACTTTAATATTATCCCTAAAGATGTTTATGATCCCTCTTTGGTATCAACAAGCTAACTGAAGGTTATGTCCAGAATTAAATCTCATTATTTTAAGAAAGTTAAATTTTGCTATATACTAAAGAGAAAGTAGAAGCCATTACAAACAATAATAACAAAAAATAACACAACCTCCAAAGAAACCACCACATTATCAGAATGTCTCTTTATTGCTAGGGGGGAAAAAAACCCCACAAAAACCCAAACCACTCATTGCCTTCTTTATTTTTCCTAAATTCTGCCTTATTCTGCCTTAGGTCTCTATCCAAGAAGAGTAAAAAGGAAGAAAATATATTTTACTCTTGACCCAAACAATGTCATAGAGTCATATCAATTGTATAATGCTGATATCACACTCAAAGATTATTAGACTTAACTTGCTTCAAACCAGAGGCCTCATTGTTTCCTAGTATCACTAAAAGATAATTTTTAAAATTTTGTTAGAGGGAACTTCAATGGTCATTAATTTCAACACTTATATATAATTAAACCACACACACACATTTCCAATAGCTGTCTCATCATGAGTTGGTGGTTTAGGAATGCTTGGATTAAGCAGAATCCATTGTCACCAATAATTCTCATTTGAAAATGCCTACTATGGAAACTCACTCAATTTGTAACTATTTGTGCTTTATTGCAATCAAAACCCTGCTTAGATTATATCTGAATATCCTATTTTCCAAGATTCTATGAAAGGCTGGGCTGAGGGTCATGCAAAATGTGAAAGAGGGGAGGTGCAAAACTGATTAATCAAAATAAGTTACATTTTGATGCAGCACATATGACAATCAAAATGAATATGGGAGAGGAAATCCATGATTACTAAAAATACTAAACCATAAATAAGGGAGGACTTCAGTTTTATTGCTCTGCATTACTGTGCAAAGGGATGACAACCCTTCCCTGGATTCACCTGAGAAAGGAGTGTCCTGTTGCAGCAGCCACAATTCTGAGTGAACAGAGCAATTTCCTAGCTGCGAAGTAAAAGATTTGAGGAACGTGAAAGGATCTCCCACGCATTGAGCAACATATCCATCTTCCCCAGTGGTTGGTCTTTGCTCAATTTCTAAGGCCCAGGATGGCAGGTAGTCTACCTTTATTTTTAGGTATATTAATAAACAAATTTGTTGTGGATGAAGTGCAGCGAGAGAATTCTTCAGGATGATGAAAATCTGTCTAATATATTTTTGGCATGTTGTCAGGAAGCTTCAGTCCCTAGAAAATAGTTTCATGCTAAGAAAGGTAGAGGGGTCATCACAGTAGAAGAAGACACTCAACAATATGGAATGACACGGTGACTGTAACAATGAGTGTAAACACAGCAGGTGGTAAGGATGGCACAAGACTGGGAAAAAATTTTGATCTGTTATATAATAGAGTTGACTTTATGGCACCTAACAACAAAAAAAGTGGGTCAACCAAATGATTTTTGTTGTCATAAATAACTACAGGGATATTTTTATAAATCACATTAAGTTTCTACTGAAATACTTAAAAAAATTATATTGACAGTGACCCTCTCTTCCAGTGTCACATAGCACAGTGCGAACTTCAATTCTACCTCCATCCACCTGTGAAACCAGTGGGTTAGGAGTTTAGTGATCGGCTTTGTGGACAATGAGCCCCAAATTCACATGTACCACAGCTCCTATTTATAAGTTTTTCTCTTTAGGAGTCACAAGAGTCGAGGTGTAAATGCAATAAAACAGAAGCATCAGTTTGTTGTTGCTGTTGTTAGGTGTCATTAAGTACAACTCATAGTGACCCCAGAACAACAGATATGAACCCTGTCCTATCCTGTGCCAGCTTCACCATCTCTGGTACACTCAAAATCATAACTGCAGTCACTGAGTCAATCCACCTGGTGGAGGGTCTTGCTCTTCTTCTTCACTTATCCACCTTCCAAAACATGATGTCTTTCTCCAAGGAATAAGATGCCCAAAGCATGGGGGCAGGGGCAAAGCTTCACCATCCTTGCCTCCAAAGAATACTAGCTTTGCACTCTCCGTGACATATATGCTAGTTCTTTTGGCAGTCTGTAGGATACTCAGTACTCTTCTCCAACAACACAGCTCAAGGGCATCATTTTTTCTTTTGTTATTCACTGTCATCATTCAGCTTCCAGGAGCATAACTGAAAGGCCCATGGTCTGAATCAAGTGCACCTTAGTCATCAAACTAACATCACTGCTTCTCAGTAATTTGGAAAGGTTCCAAACTGCAGACTTTCCCAGTGTAATG